CCAGACGTTTTGCAATAGTTGCAAAGAATGCCCAACAATGTGCTATTATTGCAGAAATTATGCATGCTTACAATATACTAGGCAATCGCATTGAAACGCTGCAGCCAACCCTAGAAGGAATCGCACTGAGTGAACAATCACGAATCAACAGTGCTGTCCATGAAGATGATCGACCGTGCTTTGATTTTCGGCTCTCGCAAGAGTGCCAAAATGCAATAGCAGGCCATTTTCCTAATCATGAAGATGAAGCGGATAGGATCTTCCATCTCAGTGAAGGCATCCAAGTGCTGCAAATGCAACATAATGACCTTGTACAAGAAGCCAACCGAGCACTTTATCGACTACAGCAAAATTGGTATGCTCTCAGTGAAGCGTATGCAACCATTTTCAATGACCTGTGAGGCACAGTGATTTAGCAGAAGTCCGGCGAAGTTGATCGACAGGCAATCAAAAGAGGGGTTCATTGGGCAGCCTTTCCTGTGATGATTCTCGCATGTCTTGCAAATAACCTTTAAGGGAACTGAACCACATGCTCACCTAGTAGGGGCACATTCATCCTACGCTTGACATTGCTGGCGGTGACTGCAGTGTGAACATGCTTTCGTGTCTGCTCACAGGTACTTCATCCCACCTAAGCTGGCATGCCGAACAAGCAATATCCCCTGCACACCTACTAGCAAGTTAGATGACAGTCCTACGAAGGCGAGTTTATGGAATGCTCACTAAGGGCCTAGGATGACCCCCAACGCATTTAACTTGTCTGTACTTGCCTTCTAGTATTAACTTGTACACAATGGGTAACTCACGCGGTGTCCTAGGCTCTTCTCTAAGTCAAAGGTGTGAAGATTAGATGTGAGCGTATTTCAGTGACAACGGGATAGGAACATAATAATCTTCCCCATCACACTGGCTGAGATACCCTAGCGAGACAGTCATCATAGAGGCATGACCGACATGACCCAATATTTAACATGCCTGACATTAAATACGGTAACCATACGGTCACGTTGTCTTTCCGACCAAAGACGTGTCGGGATTGCAACTGACTGACAATAACATCGACCAACTGCCATCCTTGTTGTCACATTCACTATACTCGCAAGTTAGCAATCGGTATATAGTGGGCCTCCACTCTCTCTACCCGTGCTGCCATGGATTATGTGCGACTCCGCGGAGAAGAACACCATTTCTCTATGCCAGTAAAGATGATCTTATATAGCTTGGAAGCAGCGCAAGAACTTATGGTGGCTGTGCGAGACCTCAGGCGCACAGTACGGCTAGTGCAGAGTGGATGTGTCACCTTTTTCCAGAAGAAGCACATGGATTGCAATTGATATATAACACCTTAGAAGCTGACCTTCAGCAGGTTGAATTGGACGGACAGCGCATCACACAGCATCTCTTGACAGCACTAGCAGCATCGTACGAGGACATAGTCCGAGTGGCAGGTTTTAGTCGCCCGTCTACACGAGGTGTGTGGGTCAACCACCTATACTTAGTTCCAGCTGCTGATGGAGGCATGACCGATCAGGCGGGACTTGCACTAGTGCCAATGGATGCCCGACCATTTCGGCTAATCATTCAGACAATACACATTACTGCGACCCTGGGCGGTTTTTTGGACCGCAGGACCATGCGGCAAGCAGCTGATACAGTAGTAGAAGTTGCTTTTCTACTATTACGGTCAGGTTTGCCACCCAACCTCCGCATCTGGACCACCATAGCAGCTGGAACCAATTCAACAGTGCAAAGACTCCAACCAAGCACGCTCCTAGCGGAAGTAGCCAGAATGATGGCTCCCACCATAAGATTTAGTCTTCTCGTGCAGGATCCGCCCACTGCGGCCATTCGCAGTCCCGACAGAGAGTTGAGTGCGCCGGAGGTCGTCCTCCTGTAACAAAAAGTGAAATGGCTGGGGTTTAGAGTTGCCGTATCTCAGATCGGTGGAATTTGCATGATTTACGGGCCACCCATTACCTTCGCTGGCCATCATGTGCTCAAGAGTTGCCACCTCACAACACAAATCCAACGAATACCACTCGTTATACATCCGTGGAGTTCATTTGATGTCTTCAAGCAGTTAACGCTAGACATAGAGACTTAGCCACGCAGCGCACACTGATTTGCCATGGTGACGAAATGAAGCACTTAGATGTAGTGGATGGAGTTATCGGAGCAATATCGCTCGAAGCAAGACCTCCATCTGGAGTCATAGGAGACAACATCGAACTGCTAATTTTACACCTACGAATGCCTGATGCTGAGACATGGGTCGCACACACTGCTACACACGCAGTAATCAGACTTGAAGAGCAACAAATCCAAGACTATCTCCTTATATCCAATGGACTCATGCACAGGACCCCCTGCGTTTTCTCGATCAAAGAAGAGACGGTAGACCGCCTTGATGATTTGCTGCTTGAACAGCTTTCCCGTGAAGGAATAGGCCTCACAGATTCATCTACGATGTACATAGCCACAGCTCATGTACAGCACAGCTACACTCAACTTATTCACTGTTTAACAAGTTTTTGATGAATCAACCGGCTCGAAGCAGGGGCTAACCCTATCATACTCAGGTGCGATATCGCCAATTAGTAAATTCTGGCAAAAAGAGATTTGTGTTTCCGTTACGACAAAGAGCATGATCAGCAGATGTACTCATGAGTACACGTGCCCACCCTGGTCAAGTTCTACAGATTGGGATCCGGCAGCATTTTTGTATACCCTGTCGCATATCTGTGGCTCAAACCACCTTCCCATGTATAGGGCTCCCACTCCTCTGACTAAAGACGTGTCAGGGGAGTACCCTTTCCCTATTTTACCTTCCCTCTCTTTTGCTTTCTTCCTCCCCTCTCTTTGACTGTCTCCTTTTGTTACCTCTGCCGCTATCCGTGATTGTTGGCACCTCGGGTGTACTCTCTGGTCCATCCCTATCAGTCATCTGTGCCTGCCTCCTCTGTTCTCCCTACCTGCTCTCTATTCCTACTTCTGCCATACCTTTGTGTACTCCGGTGGGCAGTCATGGCGCACTGGATCGGTGATAAGGTCACGCTGAAGGCAGGCCCACTGACTGGGCCTGACCAAGCGGGCCCAGCTGTAGGCAGTAATGATACTGAGGCTCACAGTGAACACCAGCGACCTGAGTACAAAGAGTCCTACATTACGGAATACGATGGCATCCAGGTCTATCGGCAGCAGGGCTGTTATGAGCACGCAAAGCAGCTCCATGCGTGGTCTTTCTATGAATATAGAATGTGCATCAATGGAGAATGCTGGAATATTGTCCTCAATGACGACATGAAGAGCCCGCCGGACTGGGCCTATCCAGGGTCCAGCTCTGCCAAATTGTCGCACGACTTCTGCCACGTAGATACGGAGGCCAGTGATGATGTCTATACCAACTTCTGGTTTGTAGAGATGGGAGGCCGACAGATATGGCCTTTCTATGCCACAGAGTCCTTTCAGGAAGACCTATGGATCTGGGCGAGCCCCAGAAGATTTGCTGTCATCACGAACCACCAACACAACGAGAAATTGAACCATTTCTATGTTGACAGAATGCATGAACACAATATCCTTGCAAATCGCACACCGTGCTGGCCCTTCACTGAAATGACCAATAGCTCAGGCAAGGTGATGGACAAAACTATAGCCCTCAACAGAGAATCCCGCTGTAGTTCAGCAGGTCATGAAACTTTCAAGACTGGCTTTGAACACAAGAGTGCCATGAAGCTTATGCCGCGAAGAGAAGAGAACCTTCATGGCAAGAGAAAGTACTCTGACCCCTCGGGACAAACAAGTACTCAACAGTTTGACCCGTCCGGGAATTACAGTGCGCGTGATCTGCAGAAACTCAATGCGACCTTCGCTGATCAGTCTGAGGCTAAATCGACTGCAATGCCAACACATACAACCAGCAAAGTCACAATGTGGCGGCATGGGGAGGTACCGCCACTAGGACCTGCAGCAGAAGGCCGGGCCCGGGCTGCTAAACAGCTGGCTTACGCACGCACTCTCTTAAATGTTGTCATGGAGGCAGCCACTCAAATGGAAGAAATTGTGAGCAATTTAGTGCAGATCGAGCACGAACAAGCCACGGCTAAAGAGGAAGATTCGGTGCAAGTTGCTTCAGCTGCTCCGACTGAATCTTGCACGGATCCAGCTACAGAGGGAAGTCAAAACTGAGTGGCGCCTGATTTTGACATCTGCATGCTGTATAAAGTCCGAAGGAACCGCAGCGAAGACTGTGGCCCCCCCCCACCTCGAGGATGCAGGACGTGAAAAGACGGTAACTGTACTAGATGGTCTGCCTGTTGAGAGATCAGTAAAAGTCGATTAGAGTGCAACAGCTAAGAATGCATGTAACACTTTGTTTGCGGTATTTTTCCATTGCACTCATGCAGGAGGTGTCTTTGGTGAGCATGAGGCCCTTTGCCACATTGCCTGATAGAGAGCCTGCAAGTTTTTGTTTGCTCAAATAAAAGCACCGGATTCCTGAACATCACCAACGTTTCCTGATACGAGACAAGTCTCATACTAACTAGATTGCCGGACCTTTTAGGCCTATGTTGTCACAGACAGGCTGTACAGTGCGCGCCTGTAGCATCTGAATGGTTGTTATGTATAAACTGTGTTGTCTTGCATGTCAATGAGACGTTAGCGCTCCTGAAAGGATGATAACCTTATTTCTCAAAGCAAAATCTTTTGCATATCTTGTGCTATGCAAAAGAAACCAACCACAACAAACAAAATCTTTCTTATTTCTTTTGAAACCTTAAACTCGTTTCCACAACTGCTGTTATTTTCAGAGTTGGTGGTTTGAAGTTTGAGGTTATGAGGTAAACTCATCTTGAAACTTGCGAAACGTGAAACCGTTCCAAGTTAAACTTCAACATGTTGCTCTGGAACATGTGATCTGTTTGATATTTGAAGTCCTTCGGTTCAAGGACTAGGGTAGACCCAAGAGGTTTAGCTGGGGGGTTGTGCGATGGTTTGGCATGGATCCTGGTATTGATGAGTTAGATTCTAATCTTTATCTGTCTTTACCTGATGTTTCAAGAGACGCATTTGATTCTGAAGATCCTGCTTTGTTTGGAGACAATCCGCTTGAAGATGAGTGTGGCTGGCCTCCTAGCCCTGCGCCGACAAGGACAGATGGTCCAGAGCTCCAGATAGGATTTCAGCAGTCATTGCCGAATCATTCAGACGCACTTGGTTTTCCTCATGCTTCAGAACAGTCTACTTTTAATTTTGACAATTTGCTGGCACATGCAGTTAGAGACATTTCAGAGGGTCCTATTCAACTGCCTTGGGAGAGTAATGAGTGGGCTTGCATTTTCGACCCCAACTACGATCCCATGGATGCGCTGGTACCTCAGTTTGAACCAAAACTCAAGGTTCCAAAACTTTTGCATGACAGACCTACTCCTGGGACTCATTCACAACTTGGACATTCTAGCAGTGCGATGGCAGACAAACCCATTTTCCAGATGGCAGTTTCCAGAAGGAAGGATCAGTTGTGGACGGAGAAGCGGGAGTCTGAGCTTCAGAGATCACTGAAGAAATGGTTTGCAATTGTTGGGAATTGGCCTGACTCTTGGCGATGTAAACAGGAGTTGACAGCGTGTGCAACCATAGATGAATCAATGGGGCTTCTTGGTGATTACCTGTCAGGGAAGGCTCCTGCCACTTTGGTGAAGAGGGCTAACAGCATGGTATTTCTGCACAACAAGTTGCATGACCTTGGATATTTTTGGCCGATTGGTGAACCTGACATGTACCGACTTGTCAAGACCTTGAAAGCAGTTGGAACTTCATCCAGTTGTTTGAAATCAGTTTTGGAAGCCATCACTTTCTGCAGGTACTCCTTTGACGTGCCCGACCTCCATGACATCACGGTGAGCAAGCGCTGTCTAGGTGCGATTGGCGATGCAGTCCCTGGAAAGGTCAAACAAGCTGCTCCATTGACAGTTGCAGATGTCCAGAAGCTGCATGAGTGTTTACAGAGTGGAGACACATGGAACAGAGTATTTTGTGGCGCTGCTTTGTTTTGCATTTACTCACGAGCCCGGTGGAGCGACTTTGTTCATGGGAGCTGCATTAGGCTGGATGTCTTGGAGACAGACGGCAGGGTTGCATATGCTGACATGGAAGTACAGATTCACAAAACGATGCGTGCATCCTCAAAGAGGTTCAAATTTTTGGACCTTGTGGCATCAGGCCAAGGTATCTGTGGGGGTGACTGGATCAAACAATGGATTCATGCTTTGTCTTGCATAGGTGTGGACCCACTCGTCCACTCCCCTGGCAAGTCTCTTATGCCGGCACCAGCAGACGATGGAACGGCTTTGCAACGGTCGCTGGAGAGTGACGAGGCCAGCACGTGGCTTAGACTGCTTTTGGGTGAGTCTTCAAGCAGGTTACAAAGCAACAGATTGATTTCGTCTCACAGCCTCAAAGCAACAATATTGTCAATGGCTGCTAAGAGGGGCCTCAAGCACGAGGACCGTTTGGCGATGGGGCATCATGCACATCCATTTAAAATGGCTGACACATATGCAAGGGATGCCCAGGCAAGGGTCATACGCTTAGTGGACAAGTTGCTTTTGGAAATCCAGTCTGGGTATTTCAATCCAGATTGCAGCAGGGCTGGAAGGTTCAACAAGCAGTGCATGCCTGATCCCAGTTCAGATGTTGGTGCACAGTCTTTTAATGACAGTGATGGTGAAAACTTTTTCATGGAAGAAACGATTGACAAGAAGTTGTCGGATGCTGTGGAAGTGGTTGAGACGCAAACTGCAGAGATTGATGAGGATCATTATACGAGTTCCTCTTCTGACAGTGAAGCTGAAAGCGTTGTGCTTGAGGCGCCAGTCAGGGTCTTCTTGCCCCCACGAGCACCGGAAGGGTACCATTTCATGCAGCACAGGAGGACAAAAACCTTGCACTTGGTGGATGCCAAATTTCCTAGTGGAACTTGCTGTGGTCGATTGTTGGACCAGAACTTTGTCGTGCCCTCACAACTGAGATACGACTCAGCAACATGCCATGTATGCAAAAAGCATAGAATGGACTGAACAGAAGTCGCGTTGCCGAAACGGTGCGACGGAAAATGGCCAGCTTCCACCGATTAGCGGCAATGTGAATGACAAAGTTTGGCACCAGGCTCAGGTTTGAAGAAGCACTCCTTTTTTCTATTGTTTCTTGGTCGAAAAGGAGTGCGCATGTATCATGTGGCCAACACTGTGGTTGGCTTTGAAGTTGGCAGTATCTAATGGTATGTTTTTCTTTTCCAGATTCTGTTTGCAAACATTTCCAGATTTGCTGTCAGCTGTGCGCAATGTTGTCGACATTCAATTTCAATTGGCACGTCATTTTCGTTGAAATTCCCCTGGCAGAGTGAGTCTTGAACTTAACTTCCAAGGTGGTGATTGTTTTTGTTTGGGTCAAGTGTGGTTCAACCAACTTTGACTGAAAGCATAGAGGCTGTTTGCGGTTCATCCGAAACGGGTCACTAAAGCTTTGACGTGGAAAATTTTGTTTTGCCTGATGTCAAAAGTGGTTCATCCAGAGTTGACACAAGAGGCTTAACCATGTACATATCTTGATGCCAATGTTATTTTTCTGACCCATCAAGGGTGGTTTCTTTCCACCTTGATTGAGGGCCAACCCACTGCGTGTTGTTGAGTGCAGCATTCAGTTGAGACCGTGGTTTCATTTCCAGGTTCAACAAAGTGAGCGTTTGAGCTCACTGTGAAGAGCTTGACTAAACATGGAGTGACTTAACATGTTTCAGTCTCAGTAATTTGCATTGCCAAACACGTTGAGCGTACGTGCAAATTTGCCAATGCTGAACCAAGATTTTTATTTCAGATTTCAACATGTGAAAGTCGATGTACCATTTGCAGAGAGTTTCAAAACAAAACATGCAAAGAGTTGCAAAGGATCATCATCGCAGATATTGGTTTCCTGCGCCATGACATTGATAGATTCTGAAGCAGCGTTTAGGCAGAGATGCAATGAGCTGTCAACAGCTACACTGAATTTGAACGACTTGCTGCGAGCGCAGAACATTGCAAGCTTCTCTGAACTGGCGTTTGCTTGTGGGGCACCTAACAAGGCGCCAACAGATGATGAATTCAGAGCCTTCACCACCTCCATTTTGGGTGCAGGATTCACAGCAGGACAGCAGAGTATCCTGCGGCGTATTCATTTTGAAGCTGCCACGTTCGTCCTGTCCCAACTGAAATCTTCTGTGACGGGTGATGCAGCTGATGGAGCTAAGAAATTACCCTTTGCTGAAAAACAAGCAAGGTATGAAAAAGTCAGACAGAAGATCCCTGGTTTCTTGGTGCAAGGCGAAACAGAACCTTCACATGCGTTGCTGGACAAGTGCCAACTCATGTACGACACAGGGGCAGTGGTATGGATATCGCCTTCCTTGTGTACCAAGCGAGAATCTGAGGTCCAGGCTGCCCCAAAAGATTCGCAACAAGTGCTACGGATCGAAGCCCAGACCTTGAAAGTGAACACAGAGGGGCCAAAGGTTGCTGACGCAGACCATGGCTCTGAGATCAAACTGCAATGGTGCCTTCAAAGGCGTGGAGTGGCATTTGAGATGTGCGAGCTGGTTTCTTGGGAAACTTCCCAAAAGTGGTTGGCTACATTGTTTGCGGCCTATTCTACAGATCCTCCACCTGGGTTTGCAAGGGTCACTCTTCAACAACTTGTAGCGGCAGACAAAGCGATGTGGACAATGTTGGCCAGAGACATCGCGTCAGTCAAACCTGACATCAATGGGAAGAGGCCATTAGACGAAGCAATTGAGAAATTGATGCGCGACCCTCGCATCACCATGTACATGTTAGCCTTGCCCACGCGCAGTCCTGCAGCAGTCGCAGCAGCGCCCAAATCTTCTGGGTCCACTCATGCAGCAGGCACAATTCAGCCGAAGAAGAAAGCCAGGCCTAGCAAGAGGAATCGCACCCAGCCAACTCCTCCTGAAGAGTTGAAGACTTGCTACCAGCAGACGGCCGATGGGAAGCCCATATGCTGGGCCTACAATTTACAGAACGGTTGCACCTTGGAAGCCACGGGACAGCCGCCCAAGTGCCGCAAAGGCGCACATATTTGTGCTTACTGCCGCAAGGCGGGTCACTCCTTTCAGAATTGCAAGGCTGCGCCAGGGAAGAACCCCCAACACTGACTTAGTCATGAGGCTACAATAGCTCCCAGCAACAACAGTGCAGACGGAGCAAGCGGAAGTTGGGTACAAACAGGGCATAGCACTCCAAAGGACAATATGCCTGACAGCGGTTTCACAGGCGCAAGCCATATAGCAACAGAGAGGCCAACGTTGTTTCAAAACATGTTGTTTCTCGAAATTTTTGCTGGAACTTCCAGCCTGACAATGGAGGTTAGAAAAACTAACCTCAGAGGAGTAGCTGTGGACAAAACCACAGAGCGAGCAAAGGGGCCCATTACAATTTTGGATTTGACATTGGAAGAAGACCTCAAATTTTTGGAAAATTTTATTGTGCAAGAACAACACAATCTTTGTCTAATACATTTGGCTCCACCTTGCGGAACTGGATCAGCAGCTCGTAAACGCAAGCTGCCACCAGACATCTCAGAAAGATTGCGTGAAGCTGGAATCACGCCACCTCAGCAACTGAGATCGGAAGATTTCCCAATGGGGCTGCCGCACATAGCTGGGCTTGACAGATACAAAGTGGAGCAAGCAAATTTGTTGTATGAGGCCACCAAGCGGATTGCAATGCTGGCGATTTCTTTGAACATAAGGGTATCAATTGAAAACCCAACCAATTCACTGTTTTGGAAAACCGACCCCATTGTCGAGCTCCTGCAGTTCCACCCTGGATACATCAATATTTTTCATAACTGCATGATGGGCGGAGATAGACAAAAGCAGACGACATGGTGGTGCAGCGATGATTTCTTCAATTCCTTTAATTTACCATGTTCGCTTGATCATGACCATAAGCCATGGACACCAACAATAACAGCAGATGGGGTACATTACCCAACAAAGGACGAAGCGGAGTACCCGAAATTGTTATGCGCCAGAGTGGCAGCATTACTGGTTGCAGACCTTAAAAGCAAAGGCATCGAGCAACCAGATACGTTTCAGCAACAAATTGGTGAGAGAAGAAACACAGCAGTCAATTCGGTTGCCATGGGATTGTTGCCACGTGGGCAAAAACTTCGTCCTCTAGTGAGCGAGTTTGGTCACTATGTTCAATTTGCGATCAAGCCTGACATGGATGCTAAAATCATTTTACAAGACCTGGTCAAAGGAGCCAGAATAACTGACCGCAAACTTTTGACAGGGGGTGACATGCGGGTTTCCGGGCGAGTGAATGCATCTTTACAATATTTAGGACTTCAGGAAGTTCCAGAAAGCATGAAGGTAGAGCTGATCACCATCGGCATCCCAAGAGAACCTTGGGATTTTGTACACCAAGCTGCCTTGGTAGGACACCCACGCTTCCTACCCTATGCTGGGAGCCCGCATTTGGACACTCTTTTGAAGGCAAATTTGGGACAGAACTGGAAAGACTTGGAACGACACAGACTCCTTTTTCAAGCGATGGCTGGCTCGAGCAAAAGAACTTGAGGTGGATGAACGCAACCTCAAAGAGCAACTGAATGAACACGTAAGGCATGTTCTGCAAGGGAAGAGGCTTCTGCTCTTCAAAGAAATTTTGGAGGACTTGGAGTTCCCGGACAAACAGTTGTTCGAGGACATAGTGGCAGGTTTTCGGCTCTCTGGATGGATGAGGGACTCACAACTGTTTTTGAGCTTGCCTAGGCCCCCAAAGCTGACCTTTGAGGCCTTGCTGCGGTCGTCGTTGGGGCTACAGGAAGCGGTTCTTCAAAAGGTTTCGGAACCAGAGGACGAAGGTCTTCACCGTGCAGCTTGGACTGAAACTTTAGCAGAGTTGGACAAGCACTGGATTTGGGAAGACAACACTGGCGACTTGAGCGGCAAGGTCATAGCTCACCGCTTTGGACTTCAGCAGGGAGAGAAGGTTCGAGTGATAGATAATTTTAAACTTTGTGGCCTCAATGACTCTTGCGTACCAGAGAAATTCACGCTCCATGGAGTGGACTTCATTGCAGCCTCGTTGATCCGCGCCCTTGTCCTACGCGATCAAGGCCACCAAGTTTGTTTGAAAGGAAAAACCTTCGACCTCAAATCTGCCTACAAGCAGTATCCGCTGCACTCAACAGACCGAGCTCATCTCAGAATCGCCATCCGCGACCCGGACTCCAACGAACCAAAGTTGTTTGGCTTGAATTCGCTGCCTTTTGGAGCTACAGGCAGCGTCGCGGGATTCCTGAGAGTGAGCTCCGCATTGTTTTTCATCCTTAGTGCGGGGCTACAGGTTTGGTGCAGTGCTTTCTTCGATGATTTCCCCACCATGTCGGTGGCTGCGCTGTCAAAATCAACAGATCAGTGCGTGGGGCTGCTTTTTGACATGCTCGGCATCCAGTTTGCAAAGGAAGGAAAGAAAAGCCAAGCCTTCGGGCCAGAGATGAAAGCCTTGGGTTTAATATTTGACTTGTCGCAATTTGATGAAGGGGTGGTATACATCAAACACACCCCTGAACGGAGAGCAGAGCTTCTTGCAAAGATCAACAGCATACTGGAACAAGACTCCCTCACCCCGAAGGAGGCTGAGTCATTCAGAGGGCGTATTCAATGGTTTGAGTCTTACCTTTTTGGGCGTATAGCCAACCTCTCTATACACCGTATTGGCAAGAGAGCGCAACAGAAGGGGTCCAAAACCAAGAGCAAACTTGATGATGAGCTGCGCTCCTCCTTGATTTTCTTGCGTACAAGAGTCCAGACCGGCTCACCCCTTCTTTTGACAGCTGAAACGGAGGACTCAGTTTTGATATTTACAGATGGAGCTTTTGATGCAGAAAATTTGAAGGGTTCAGTTGGTGGAGTGCTTCTTGATCACAAGGGCAGACCCTTGCGCTTCTTCAGTGAAAACTTTCCAGCCTTGGTGATGAAGCGTTTTCTGGAGGTTTCTGATAACCCTATTTATCTCATTGAACTTTTGGCCGGCTACATAGCGGCGTTCCTTTGGGGAGGCTTAACGACTGGCAGATACGTTGTCATGTACATCGACAATGAAGCATCACGCTTGGCTTTAATTAAAGCCTACTCCTCAACACCGATGGGAAATGTCATTGTCCAGATGTTTGTATCCAGCGAAGACTCATCCCAATGGAAAGTTTGGTTTGGTCGTGTCTGCAGCTACTCTAACATAGCAGATGCCCCGAGTCGCATGGAAGTTCAAGACTTGGTGACTCGTGGTGCAATGCAAGACAAATGTGCCTGGGATGTGATCCTGCTCAAACTTGAAGAAGCTGAGCACAATTTGGGATTGGGGTGAAGGCGGGTGCTCAGACTCAGCCGGATGAAAACCGAATCGCAATATGTGGATCAACCCCTTGGCTTAAAAAAGGAGTGTCTGCATTTGCACTTTTCAGACATGTCATTCCACTTTCCGGACTGCACGTTTTATTTTCGGTAGATATCTAGTGGCGCGTAACCCGTCGTTTTGCGAACGCCATACAGTATATGAATACTGATATAGTCTGTTCGATATATAATTTTAACGCGGAGCGGAATTTGTGAGTGACCATTCATGCCAGCTCGCTGGTTCTGCGTTCCTTGGTTTGTGTTGTTGGTGGTTTTGCTGGAGGAATAAGTTAGCGCTCCTGAAAGGATGATAACCTTATTTCTCAAAGCAAAATCTTTTGCATATCTTGTGCTATGCAAAAGAAACCAACCACAACAAACAAAATCTTTCTTATTTCTTTTGAAACCTTAAACTCGTTTCCACAACTGCTGTTGGGGTTACTCAATGCAAAGCAGTGATGATCCCTTTATTTGAACCAAACAGAAAAATTTTTGTAGTGACAAAAATTAGGCTGAGAATTGAAATGCACACCAGATGTTTTTGAAACCCGGTATCTGAAAATATCTTCAACAAAATGCAAACTTTTCCTGACAGTTTCAAAACACATGGTACGATAGGTACAGGTGTGTTTAAACCTTGGTTTCTTGTTTATGAGAAAATCTCATGAAACAAAAACCTTACCTGAAAACCTGACGGAAACTTTCACTATATGTTTCCGCGCTCGCCTCAAGAAAGGGTGGGTGGTGTGGGATCCGTCTTGCTTTTTCGGCGAGTTTTTGCATGGGGGGTTAGCTGTGGCCATGGATACAGTTCATTTGGAGGAGAATCTGTTTTTGGAATCCAGTCAAGTGCGACCTGATGTTGAACTTGGACATTGTTCTCAAACACAGTTGCTGGAAACTGGTTTTGAAGTAGGTTCTGTTAGCTATACCCCATCGATCGCCAAGACGGACTTTGCAGAGTTCTTGCCTGGGCAGAGTGCTGATGCAGATTTGGAATTTTCTAGGAACTATGACACTGTTGCAGTTGTTAGTTCTGCATGGACAAGTTTGCAGTCGGAGATTCCCAAGTTGCCATGGGAGCAAGATTTTTGGAGTGGTGTTTTGGACCCTGCCAAACCGGTGCTTGAACATTTTCACAAAGGCTTCAAGAGACCATTACCTTTTCACTATGAAGGAACCTCAACTTCTGCGTCAAAGTCTGAAGTGGATCGTAGAGTGGTCTCTAAGCCTTACCCTGGCCTGCAGAGCTTCATCAAGCACATCAAGGACGTGCCCGAGAAAAGTTGGCAGGAAGAGAGAGACGCTTTGTGGGAGATTGCAATTCGCAGATGGGTTGCTGTCTTGGATACATGTGAGATCCTGGTGGACGTTTTCTACAACAAGGCTCCTCAAACCTTGATGAAACGTGTGAACAGTTTGTCAAAGTTGTGCAACAGTTTGGCAGTTAAGGGTTTGAGTTTTCCATGCAAAGAAGATGAATTTTACCAGTTCTTGAAGTCGGAGTCTGAGAGCGGAGCTCCATCGTCGAGACTGAAGGCTTGTTTTGAAGCTGTGGTTTTTGCAAGACATGTGCTTGGAATGGACCCCTTACAAACACTGGTTAATAGCAGACGTTGTCTTGGAGCAGCATCACGTCAGGGCCCTACATGTCCACGGCAAGCTTCACCTTTCACTGTAGTGCAACTCAAAAGGCTGCATGAGGTTTTGCGTGAGGGACCTGAATTGTGGGACCGTGCAATGGCAGGGATGTTGTTGTTTTGCATCTATGGCCGAGCCAGGTGGTCGGATGCCCAGCATGCTGAGGAACTGTTGCCTGACTTTGATGGACAAGGTCAAATAGTGCATTTGGAAGTTAGGACAGCTGTTCACAAAACTGCACGTGCTTTTCATTTGCGTCACATGTTCTTGCCATTGTCAGCGCCTGCAACTGGTGTCACCAATGATGCATGGGGAGCTCAGTGGTTGGAAGTCAGGAAGATGTTGTGCATTGAAAACATGAGACAGTTCCCGCTGATGCCAGCACCCAACATTGCGTTGGAAGCCACCAGAAGGCCCGTGTCAACTCATGAGGCAAAGTTGTGGATAGGCCACTTGTTGTGTTTGGAGGACATCAACAAAGCCAAGCTTACCAGTCACTCATGCAAGTGCACATGTCTTTCTTTTCTTGCAAAACGAGGTGCATCGATCGAGGACAGGCTAGTTCTGGGCTACCACTCGAATAAGATGCGCATGGCCCTGACCTACAGCAGAGACAGCATTGCACGTCCACTGGCACTTCTATCACATGTTTTGATGGAGATACGAACAGGTGTTTTCGAACCTGACAATTCAAGGAGTGGCAGGTTGAATGCAGGTGCGATGTCGCTGGATAAGACTGTGTTTTTTGCAACTGCACCTGATGAAAGGGTTGAACATGCAGATGCCTGGCAATCCACGGAAAGGGATGCTGAGGGCTCAGAACTGGAGTCGTGGAATTTGATTCAATCGGCTGAAACGGTTCCAGCGGAAGAGCCAGTGCTGAATGGGCACATCACAACAGACTCGAGCGACTCATCGGATGAAGAAGTCAGGGTCACGCCAGTGGTAGGACACTATGAAATTTCAATTCCAAGTGACAAGCAGTTGTGGTTAAACCAGAACTCAAAGATGTTTCATTTGACCCGCATGGAATATAGAAATGTATTGCTATGCGGAAGAAGGGTTGGACAAAACTTCAGGAGACATGAAGGCCTTGTCAGGTACGACTCTGCAAAATGCAGAATGTGCTTCAGGCTCAAAGACAGCTAAGGCGCCAGAACCGTGAAGCGGTGAAACAAGGCAGCAGCTGTACGTCGTTTGCAAAGACTTCAGCTTGAATCAAAATTTTCATTTGTGTTATCTGAAGTTTGCATGAACTTTTAAGTGATAGTTTCAGATCGAGTGGATGTGCAGTTGTTTCATTCTTGCCGGCGATCATCATCTCACAAGTGGCATGTCAGGTGTAGGCAGGATTTCAAAGGGTATCGTCTGAGAGAGCATCGAGGAATCGACTGAGTTTCAGGTTCGAAACGCAGCAGTCGATAGGTCGGTGCAGACTCATGGCATACATGTGCAAGCTTTATGTTGCACGTCCTTTGAACATGTTTACAAACGCACATTTTTCATGGCTTGTTGTGACAGGTTTGGAAAAACTTCACGACTTGCATTGTTACAATAACCATTACCAAGTTCTTTCATAAATCAAGGTTGCTTGGTGAGAATGTTTTGACATTTCACGCGACTTGTTTCGTGCAATGGGCTTGTCAAAGCTGGTTTGAGAGAGCCATGTCATTGGCAGACTCAGAGGCGGCATTTGGACAGCATTGCAACAAAATAGTGACCGATGGGTCATTGCTGAATCTTTTGCAAAGCAAAGGAATCCGAAACCTCAGTGCTTTAGCGTTTTCAATTGGCACACCACAAGTGCCACCTTCAGACGAGCAGTTCAAGGACTTTACAACTAGACTTAATGATGGGGTGGACCTGGACTTTGGTACACAGGCCGCACTCAGACGGCTTCACTTTGAGGCTGCAGCAGTGGTCATGGCGGAACTCAAGACCAAAGCAACGGATTCATCTGGTGACGCAGTCAGAAAACTGCCCATTGCTGAGAAAGCAGCAAGACTGAGGGACCAAGAAACAAGGTTGCAAGGTGTGCGTATACGGGGCGAACTTCAGCCTTCCTATGCGCTGATCGACATGGTTGCACAGATGAAAGAGTCAGATTCGGTCACATGGATAGCACCGAGCAAATGCAGCAAGAGAGACTCTGAGATCCAAGGGAACATGAAAGACAAGCCGGTCACCTTGTCGCTGGAACAACAAATGGTGAAGTTGGCTTCAGCTGAGGAGCCACCAGCTGTGGACACTTCCACAGATTTACAACTGCAATGGGCTTTGCAAAGACGGGGATTGGCATTCGATCAATGTGCCCTTATTAGCAATTCAGAACATGAGATCTGGGTGCAGCAACTGTTGTCGCAGCTGACAAAGGACCCCCCCTGCAGGGTATGCAAGGGTATCAGCTGGCCAGGTGATCAGAGCAGACAGAGAGATGTTTACGTTGATGGCACAGGAGATCGAAGGCTCACTTCAACCAGATGCAGCTGGCAGATTTCCCATGGAGAAGAAAATGAAAGAGCTGCGCACAGACCCAAGGGTCACTATGTACATGTTGCCTCTGCCAAAGGGGGCGCCGAAAGAGAGCGAAAAGAACGCCGCAGGTTCTTCGTCGACAGCAGGTGGAAACCCTCGGCCAGCGGGGGCAGGAAATCCCAGGCCAAACAAGAGGCCAAAAGCTTCGGCAAAGGCCAAATCACTTTGTCCCCAGGAGCTCAAAGGGTTCGCACAGAAGGACGAATCAGGCAACGCTATTTGCTGGGCGTTCAACTTAAAAAGTGGCTGTAAGAATGAAGTTAGCAATGGCAGATGCAAGAAAGGGAAGCACTGTTGTATCAAATGTCACCGCACAAACCACAGTCATGTGACGTGCCGCACCAACTGACTAGGTGACAACAATACAGTTTCACAGCGTGCCTTCTTAAAGAGAAGGCTGGAGCATGCGAAAGAGGCTTTCACAAAGAAGGTCAACAAGACTTGCGAAAAGCCTATGGTGTGTCACTCAGTCGACCAAGTCGAAGAAATTGTTTATCACCCGGTAGATCAAAAGATCTCCCAGCACTTGCAAAATCCGAGTTGCGGTATCACGAAATTTTCTGGCAAATGTGTTGAAGATTTACTTTTTGTGGAGATTTTTGCAGGGACGGCACGGCTTTCGAAAATAGCAAGAGATACAGGCTTCCAAGCTCTGCCAATTGACAAAACTACAGCAAGGGCGAATCAGATTTTTATTGCACAGTACGATCTGACGGAACCAGAATCCTTACAAGCCATCATTGACATCCTCACCACCGAAAAGGACAGGATACTGGCAGTGCATTTAGCACCTGC